CACACACACACACACACACACACACACACTATATGGAGGGACGTACGTAGGACCCAAAGCCAGGTGATGAAAAGATGACACATAAGATATATAATATGGTTTTATACATATATATTAACATGTGTGTGTGTGTGTGTGTGTGTATGTGTTGAGGATTTTGAAAATGGGTAAATGGAAAAGGAGCATGGGGACGTTTGGCAGAGCATGAAATATAGCCGTTATTGTAATGACGATTATTATTTGCAAGTACGAAATAGGCATGGTCCCTAAAAGGTGTACCAAACACACCACTGTGACACTGTGATTTACCGTATGGTCAAACCATCGCATATAACTACAAAACTGCAATCAATGTCTATTACCAGCTTTTATATATATATATATATATGTATGTATGTATATATTTTTTAATTTAATATTTTGGGTTTAATTTAGAAATATATTAAATTAATTTTAAATATTTTATGCGAACGATGGGGGTAATTTTGGGAGATAATTTTTTAAAAGAAGAATAAAGTCAAAAAAATTGGGTGGCTAATGAGGATGTAACGTGGGATGTGTGTTTTGCATGTTGAAAGCAGAACAGCTCATTACCAATGCGTCATCCTGGGCCCCCCTTTGTCTCTCTCTTTATTTTTTTCCACTTGTTCCAATTTTACCCTTCACTTTATTACCATATATATATATTTAAATACATTAAATTATAATTTTATATTTATTATTATTATTAACTCTCTTGCTTCTTTGAAACGTGACATTCAACCACTTCTCACCAATCCCAGACATGCACCCATTAAACATATACATATATATATATATACACACACACATACATATGCAAATGTGTGTATATACATGTACATATGCATACGCACAAAAAACCAAATTAACGATCCCAGTTTTGTACCATTTTTTGTCTATGTTTCATATATAAAATCTATTATACACTAATTAAAATTGATTAATGATAAACTAATATTAAAAAAGGTTAATTAGTAGCAACGGTAAAAACGCACGGTTAAAAAAGTAAATTAATATTGACAGTAAAACTGGTAGGCCTTGGGCCTAAGAAGGTTTTGGGTAAGTGCCTTCATTAACAAAGAACTTGGGCTTTTGAAGTTGCAGAGTTGACGGTGTTGATAGAGAAGTGGGCCATGGATTCTCGCTTTTCTACTTCCCTTTCTGCTCATTGATTACCTGCGACGGCATCTCTTCGTCTTCTTCATTTCATTCCTACTTCCAAACTCTCCATGACAAACACAATGCAACGATCGCCGCTGCCGACGCCGCCAACTTATACTTCCATTCCTATATCTGCCGGCGACGTCGTTTCCCGATCGATCCAGAACTTGAGTATCGCCGTTTCTCGTCACCGCCCCTGGCCGGAGTTCGCGTCCTTAGGGGTCTTTGACCGCCCTGATAATCTCCCATCCGCGGTTGCTAGAGTCCAGAAGAACGCCCGCTTCTTCCTCGTCAACTACTCTATCCTCCTCGCCGCATGCGAAGCACTTTCTCTCATTGGTTCCCCCGGCTCCCTTCTCATCGTATCCGCCGTCGTCGTGCTCTGGCTTCTTCTCTACTTCTTCCGGGAAGACCCTCTCATCCTCTTCGGCCGTCACCTCAACGACTACCTGGTTTTGCTTGCTTTGTTCCTTTCCTCCCTTTTGGCTCTCTGGTTCACTGCTTGTTTCTGGACCTTGGCGCTGGGACTCGCCATCGGTCTTCTCGTTTGTGCGGTTCACGCCGTCTTTAGAAACTCCGATGGGCTGTTTCTTGATGAGGAAGAGGCTGCCTCCAGAGGCTTGGTCGCTGACCGTGGGTGACTCTACTTCTTCTTTATATTCTACTTCTTAAAAGTAACACGATACAGATTCATGTGGACGAGGAGGAAATTGTTCGTCCTTCATTGACTTCTTCGGTGATTCAAGTTGGGTTTCTGCCGTCTTCTGCCATGGATTTCTAAAGTTTTCTGCTTGCTTTCAGTAGCCTGAAGAATATGAGATGTATTGTACACCATCTGCCATTGATATTTGTTGTTTATGTCCTCCTGAAGCTTAAACCAAGTTCCGCTTTTTTCCTTCTTGGCGATACACAGAGATAGAGAGAGAGAGAGAGAGAGAGAGAGAGAGAGAGAGAGAGAGAGAGAGAGAGAGAGAGAGAGAGAGAACGAGTGGCTCCTGTACTGAGTTTTCCTTAGCGATAACAGGCAAATTTAAGTCGTGTTTGTTTGTTGTCATTGTTTTTGTTTGGTGTTAGCTTTGTTCTTATTCTGTATCAAGCTTGTGGGTAAAGCTTGCTTGTTTGTCCTTTTCACCATGACTGATCAATTGAAGATTGATTACAAGTTAAGTTACCTTTTCTTCTGCTGTTTCAATTCAACCAAACGAATTCGTAAGCAGTAATGCATGGTTTATTTATATCTGCAAATCGATCACTAAACTTTCTAAACTGTTAATGGTCATTACAGTATAACCAAAACTGATATTCCCAACATGGGTCATGGTGGAATCTGGGATTGACAAACATATTTGCATATATATGTATGTATGTATGTTTAGATCTTGCTCCTCATTCTCACCAACCTTGCAAGTGTTTCTTGAGCCGCCAAGGTTAAGGCATGGTTATGTCCCAGCATCACTGTCCTGATACTGATACACGTCCTACACAGCTCTTCTCCACTGTCAAAATGCCCCCCTCTTAACAGCAACTTAGCTCTAGTTTCCAGCAATGTCGCTTTCAACAATGTTACATCCTGCCACACATATTCATCCACTTTCTGGTTGTTGCCTCCCATCTTGGACTTCTTCTTCTTCCTCCAACAGAGTAAGCCATGGCACCAGTCTTGTATCTGTGACACGAATGACTTCTCTACTTCTTCCAGGACATTGGTGCATACCTTGAGGAGCTCTAAAGCTGAGTTGCACCGGGAGAAAGTTGTGAAGGCTCTGATTGCTAGAGGGAGAGCTGTTTTCTTAATGTACAACACCATGTCAATTGCTTTGAGTTGGACACGTGGAGGTTCGGATTTGAATCCGAAAACCAGAAATGCAGAAGCCCAGAGATGATCTGAGTTCATCAATGGATTCCCAGTTTTGCTTATGGCTTGAATTGTAGCCTTGGGAGCCAATATGCAGTCTTTTCTCCTAGCAAATGCCTGTGTTACAGTATGGAACTGAATCCAACATCCGGACGCACTGTTCGTCTTTCGTGCCAATCCTAGTCTTACTAGAAGAAGAGCAGACTCTTCTTCACTCTGTGGTGAGAACCCACAGCCGCCACAACAGGCAAATGTGACAGCCAAGAATTTTGTCCACCAATGAAATCCCTCTCTGGAAATAGGCATGAACTTAGCTGCATTGGCTAGTAAACTCACTGGAATTGGTGCTGGAGCAAACCAAGCCCCAACAAGAAGCATGCTGGAGGCAACAGCATTTCTTCTGCCATTGATCTGCTGCAAAAGTGCAAAGCAAAAAGATACAATTTTGGTGAGGGAAGGGTTGTTTTTGCAGTATTGTTCATCATTGATGCTGGTGTAAGGTGAAGTTGATTCTTCTTCCAGAGGGACCTGATTTACAGCTTCAAAGAGTGCAGATGGAGAAATTTGCAGTACTGAAAGCAATGATCCAATAAGCCATAAGCCAAAGGTCAATCTTCCTAGTTTCTCATCAAATTTCCTCAAGATCTCCAGCTCCTCGTCTAGGTAATCTTTCTTCCTCTTTCCTCTCAGTAAGATCATAGCTTCAGATACTGACAATGGTGGAAGCTGGATTGTGTCAAAACTCATCACCTTGGATAGCCTAGTAGTGATAATCACATGAGAAGCTCCTGTGTTCCTTGGAATCAAATCATGTAGATCTTTACCTTCCCACCATTCTTTCTCTGTCTCAAGGTTATCGATGATCAGTAGATAAGGCATGTCGCGAAACAGCTCCCTCTGACCCTCTTGAATGCTTCGGATTCTGCTCTTCGAAGCTTCGAATTTGGCCCCTTTCTTCTCAGCATCGGCGCTCACGTCCAGCCCTAATTTGAGTGACAGATTCAATATGTTTTGCCGAAGTATGGAGCTTCCCCGCCAACCCATAAGACCATCTTGTATCTCTGTGAATACCTGTAAGCAAATTCAAGTGCTAACTCAGTTTTCCCAATCCCACGGACACCATTAATGCAAATGACACTGCTGCTCAAGCTCTTGTAGTTTCCACTTCTTGATTTCTTACATTTTGATTTCTTGAATGAATTTCTACCTGCAATTGGTTCAACCCATGAATCCAAAGTTGGTTCTTTGCTCTTTTCCAACTCCAAATTAATAAACCTCCCACCTCTCATTGGGACAGTATCACTTTCTTCATCAGCAAGGCCTTCAGATTGCCCACTTGCTTCTCCTTTCATGGTTTGCAGGGAGTAATCTCGCTCCAGACAATCACAACAACCAAAGAAGCTGGTTTCTATCTCTGTAATCTCTTTCTCTCTTCCTACAAAATACCTGTTTCTTGGGAATGGAAGTTCCTCAAACATTCCTTCCACATCCTTCTCAGCCACACTCTTCCGCCCAAGCTTTGCTCGCAGTAACCCAGCAGCTTTACTCACGCAGCCTCTCCAGTTTCCCTCACTGGCTACCAGCTTAGACTCATGACACTTGATCAAACCATCAATGGCTTCTTTGCACTCCTTGTCAATTGAATTGCAGTAGAGAAGACCCGTTATCTCGGCAGGTCCTCTGTCGAAGAATATTGGGATCAAGTTCTTCTTTTGAGCAAAGAATCTAATCTCCTCCAAGCTAAGGGGATTGAGAAAAGTAGAATTGGTGACCACCACAACTCCATATGTCACTGAACAGATAACCCTGTCAGCAATCTCATGACTCTGACTATCCGAGTACTTAGCTCTATCTGCAACAAAGCAAGCAATCCCCTGAAGCTCCAGCTCTGATTTAAGCCACTTACAGAAGCGGACCAAGTTGGGATGTTGACCATGGAAGCCAATGAAGACATCGCAGCTTCTAAGCTTAGCATTTGATGCAGGAGAAACAGGAGCTTTGGTGAAAGAAATCCGAGGGACTGGAAATGAAAACGAGACACGGGCAGGAGCAGGTTCCGGAACACAAGGGAGAAACTTGAGCTTTGGATCAAATGGGTCATCAGAGTATTCATACTGGTCTGATGGGGGCGTGTAGGAGCTGCTTGGTATGTCATCAGACTGTGATCCCCTGTATGAGACAGGCGGTGAATGTGAAGGAACATGCGTAGATATAGGTGGTTCTTGTTGGGGTTTATCGTTAGGAGGTATTGCTGTGGCCCTGGGTGATATATATGGTGACTGTAAAGCAGACACAAATGCGGATGAAGGTGGGGACAAAAGGGAAGGAGAGTTGAATGGAGAAGGTTCAATGGAGTTTGGTATGCTTGCAGATGCCAAATCTGAAATAGATTCAGTGTTTTTACCATTTTTGCTAGATAAGGTTGCAGTCTTGATGGTGAGCCCAGTTGGCTTTTCTTCAAGGACTTCACCATTACCAGATAAAGATCCTTCTTCATCCATGACTACCAAGCATTACCAGTCAAAAACAGGAAGTAGATAGATATAAATAGATATAGATATAGAACTTGTAAGAAAAGCTAAACCCCAAAGTTTTATCCTTCTTCTTCCTCCGGCTGTACTTTGAATGTTATGACAGAGATGAGGAAGTTCAATAAACCTTTTCTTCTTCCATTATTTCCAAAACTGGTCTTCACTAGAATCATTTTCTCTATCTATGAATTATTTGCTACTGACAGATACAATTAAAATGGATGAACACTGAGGAAAGTCTGGCAGAAGATGAATGCAACAGTAGGTGGTTTTATACAGGAGAAATCTGCATGTGATGTACCTTACCTCTCAATTTCTGTGGGGCCTTTCTTCTGTCGAGAACCATACCCTGTTTTTCTTCAAACTCTGATTGCAGATTTGACCAAAGAGTATTTTACTAAATCCTCCATTAATCTCCTCAAAGCCTCCATTGATGAAAAAGCTTATAACCAAGCATGAAAAAAGTTGATTCCTTGACAATAAATTCTCAACTATCATTAAAAAGTATGCAGAACCCAGAAAGGGAAACTCATAAAAAACACTTTGCAGTGATGAAAGTAACAGCCTTTAGAAACTAAATTAAACTTACCCTTGAGAGCTTAGGTTCTGGCTTAAACACAGGAGAAAGATAATAAGAACACTAAAAGCATGTTTAGCCCCTGAAGTCCCACCCATGTATGAGGGGGAATCTAGTTGTATGAGTTGGATCTGCAAAGTTTAGACTTGGAATTATATAATAATAATAATTGAAAGGAAATGCTTAAAAAGAAGGTGCAGAGGGTTAATGGAGGTTGATGATTGTAGTAATCTATATAAAATGGAGAATTAAATAGTAATATTATGTGTTGGAATTAGGCAATTTCTTTTTGTTTTATGTGCTGTACAGTTATAAAATCATTCAATTGTTTAAATCCAAACATGTGAGATAGGTCAGAGAGGAAAAAAAAAAAAGAAGAAGAAAGAAACTCAGAGAAAAAAAAAAAAAAAAAAAAAAAAAAGGAAAAAGAGGGAGAGAGCATTGGGGAGAGGAACAAGAACCTTTTTAATCTTTTTCCTTTTAATAGCACTGAGATATTAAAAGGCACTGGGAAAGCTTTAAGATTTGAAATTGCAATACATATATATACATATACATATATATATATAATGTATAAGCCAAAGATCTATCTCATGCAAGTGCAGGTTCCCTCTGTATGCTCACCAGTCTGACATAATTTGAAACTATTTGCTCTGGGAATTGCACCAAACAAAGACCAGTCTAACTCCAACTCAAACCAGTATTCATTTCCCCCAAACCCAAACACATTCTGCTCAACCCCACCTCCTCAAAGTAACCCAACTATGAGAATTTAATTATATTATAATCAATATTTAATTACACTCTAATTAGGATCTGCATATCACTTAATAAAAATATTTTATATCATTGTTACTCACACTTTTTCAAAATGGTGTGAATTTAATTACATGGCTTTGCATCCTTTGTCATAGACAACTAATAACAAAAGAACTCAGCTCTTAATTCTTGTCTTCTTCCTTTTTACTTCCAAACTTTTTTCAGAAAATTGCATATTTTATATTCGTTTCCCCTAAAATAATATGGTAATTAATAATTGGCTTTTGATAAGTCTACTTATAGCCAATTAAATTTAATAAAAGATAAAATTAATCGAGAAATGTTAAAGGATCTTATTTGAATAAAATCTGTTTTATAAGTTTGTATTTCTATATTCTCGTATTCTAAGAAAACAGAATTTCAAATTGGGAGAATGAATCGTAATCGTGTGATCAGAGTGTGATTAAAGACAGAGACGGTTCCTGATTCACTATCAATCTAGAGGATCATTTCTAGTTGTGTTTGATTATGACAAACTAATCAAAAATGTTTAAGAGAAATGTCAATATAATCCAAATCAGCACCTGATACATGTACTGTATATGTATGTATGTATGTATGTATGTATGTATGTACGTATCTTCGTGATGCTTTTGGCTGAAATCAGGCATACCCAATGGTGAAATTATATGTATATATGTGTATATATTGCTTTGTGAAAGCTAATCCACAGCTAAAAGGCAGGTTGGTGGAGTTGTTAATTAATGGGAAATTAAGATGAGGATAAGAAATAAAAAAAGGATCACGTGAAGTTGATCCCAAACAACCAATGTTTTGCTGTGTAGCTAAAAGAAACTTGATGCAGGAAATATATATATATATATATATATATATATATATCACCAATGTTTAGCATATATGACAAATATAATTGAGTGATTAATTATTTTAAAATTTTTTAATTGATAATATTTGATAATTAATCAATTTTAAATTAATTAGAAAATTACTCAAACTATATATATTGAGTTTTGGTTTTTTCTCAAAACTTAAAAGTAGACAGGAATGGATCAAGAGCCCATTAGCCCAGTAAAGTGTATAACTAGACATGTTTGTGCTTATATAAATATACAATATGAATGCTTTGGAAGTTCAACATAAAATAAATAAAAATTAGAAAAAAAAATAAAAATTATAATGATTTTATATGAAATGAAAAAATAAAATAAAATTACAACTTATACTGAATTTTTGTAAAAAAAAATATATTATTTATATTATGATAAAATCAAACCACGTAGAATAAAACTGTACTTAAATAAAAACTCAAAATAAAAGTTACGTGAATTTTTATATGATTAAGATTAGTAATACGGAGGCTTTAGTTCTTAAAATTAAGGCTTACTTTGCGGCACATGTTGTATTTTTTTTATTGATTATGTATTTTTGGATTAAGTTTCGTATATTATAAGTAGTATTTTCAGAAAAAGTAAATATTATGAGATTTTGAATTTAATTTATCTCAAATTTCATCACGTTTAATAGCATATATGACAAAGAAAATGTAAGAGAAGATGAATATATGGTTATAAGAAAATAGATGTTAAGTTTGAATAAGTGTATTTCTTAATTAAGATTGGAAAATAAGGTGTTTAATTTGTTACGAAAATAAAGATAAGTCATTTTACGATAATTTTTTTTTTTGGGAGTTTAAAAAATTGTAGGAGTTTTACAGGAGACTTTTATTATTTACAGGAGACTTTTACTCACTATATTTATTATTTAATAATAATAAATATATATTATTCACATGTCAATAAAGGAATCACCAAAATAAATAATTTAAAATTATATTACTGTTTTTACTTAAAATTTTATCATATCTGTGTTGTATTATAATTTATAATAAACTACTAAATATAATTTTATGATATGTTAACGTTATAAATTTCATAAACTCTTTTATCAATGATATTATAGGTACGATAATCCAGAGTTATAATTGAGTTTAGAGTTTGTTATTTAAAATGTATTTATTTAGGAATTTCTCTCGTTTTTAGAATTCTTCTTTATTGAATTTTTTTTTTTACTCAAAGAGATTTAAGGTTTTCTGATTGAGGGATTTTCTCCCGCTTGAGAAATATCTCTCCCGCTTGGAGGAAATATTTCTCCCATTTCCTGTCTGTACGTGTGGTCAAATGACTTGGCCCGCCTTGACACCTTACTTGCCGAGGTATCTAGTATTTTTTTAAAATTATATTTAGATCTTATTTTTTTGAATATTTAATTTATTTTAATCTTTATTAATTATAAAAATGCTAAAAAATTTTAATTTTTATTCATTTAAACTCTCAAGACTTTAATTTTTATAAATTCGAATTTAATTTCTTTTTACGAATTTATTTAAACTCGCGGGTACGACAATAGGTCATTTTTTTATAAAAATTAAAATTATAATTTTGTATATCTTATTAACTTGTTTTTAAAAAAATTGATATAAAGATACATTCGAATTCATGTAATAACATCAATAAGAAGCGACCACCAATTATTTATTATTATATTATACTTTAATAATATTAATTTTTAAATTAAAATTTATCATTATCAAATTTGTTTTTTTCAAAAATAAAAATAAATATAAATTCCACCATCAAAATTTTAACTTATTTTAGACATACCTAATTATTGTTACATCTTAAAAAATAATTAAAATAATAATTTATCCTTAGGATAATAATTGCAATATTACTTTACATTGAATTATAAATTTAACTATTTAGAGGAGATCCAAGTGATTATAATACCTGTACGGTAAAAAGGAAAAAAGGTTAGGGGTAGTTTTGGTAATAAGGTAAAAACCACCGGCTTGTCAAATCCGTGACAGCTCGGATCAGACGGCCGGACGTGGCCCACCATCACATGACGCCAACCTCCCCCCACGTTCGTTTTTCCTTTTTTTTGGAATTAAATATTTATTTACCATTTTAATTTTTAAAATTAATTTAATATCAAAAAAATAAAAATGATGTCATAAATATATAATTTCTATTCTTACGTAAATTTCCTTTTAAAACATAAATAATGATAATCATGGATAAATAAATAAATATTGCTATTACCACATCATAAATTGTTTTGTACGAATATTCATTTCCATGGCTATAAAACTGGAATTCTAACCCTTGGTTAGGGTTTCCGCGCCTTTCGATCTCTCTACTAAGTTTCATTTATGGCGTTATTGCTCTTATATATTACTCTGTCGTAAAAGGTGCGTCGTCTTCTTAGTTTCAATTGCTATTTATTTATTATTTTATTTCATTTCAATCTGCGCTTTGCTAGATTCGGACAAAACAAACGGGAATAGTTCGTTTCATTTTCACTTCCAATCTGCTTAGTTTGGTCTCGATTTCTGGAACGAATTATCCAAATCCTGCTCTAATTAAATCTTGATTCTTAACTTGAATTTGATTCTTAAATCTTACAGATTTTTGGTTGTTTTTGGGCTATGGTACTGCTGGAATGATAGTTATTGCTCTTGGTCTTGATCTGAAATTGAATTTGAATCGGGCAAGGATTTGAAGGGGACCGTAGACTCATGTAGTTATGGATTTAGAGAGTGAAAGCTCTGCTCGTGAATCTGTACAAGATAACGAAGTAACCGAAAGAAGTATTTCTCATGATGCTGATGACAAGGTCAAGAATAATGGGTCATGCGCAAATGAAATTCATGGGTTGACCTATTTTCAGAATTTGAATGCCGATTCACCTCCTGCTGATAAGCTTGAAAAGGGTGCTGAAACTGCTCTATCAGGGAATCTCGGTTCACCGGGTGCTACATCCCCGGGGGTCACCTCGCCTCCTACCACGAAAGGCTATGGGTTGAAGAAATGGAGGCGGATTAGGAGAGATTCTGTGAAGGATACGACTCCCACTGTGGATAACAGTAAGATTTTGAAGCGGGGCTTATCAGTTTCATCTAACAATCAATCCAAACCTACGCATTTGCCATCAATTGAGATCAAACAAAATAGTGACGGTTCTGTAGGATCTGCAAATCTGTTAAAGAATACTGGTGTGGCTGGTGGGTTCACAATACAGGGCTCTAGTCCTGATTCCAGGTTTGCTGTAGGGAATGCTTTTTCAGCCGCCACAGATTCTGAAAACAGCGAGGACTGGAGTAGCAAATCATCGACCGCGGCCAGTGCTCCAAAAGTCAGGTACAACCTGCCTACTGCATCGGGATATATGAGGGATAAGAATCGAGTTAAGAGTTTGAATGGGAAGAGTGTGGGTAATTCAGCTCAACGGGTTCAACAGGGGAAAGGGCGGGTTGAAACCAGTAAGAAGCCTAGAGGAGAAAAGGTCAAAGTCGAGAAGGAAAATTCTCATTCCAGCATGGAATCTGACTCCAGAAGCTCCAACTTTGTCTTTATGCAGGGTGCAACTTCTAGGACCAGTAATGGAAAGCAATGTGGAAGGGCAATGAATTATGATGGGGAAAACAACGACGAAGTTCATGCAAGTGAAGAACAGTTCAATGAGGAAGTTCAAACTGCTTATCGGATAGATACTGGGGTAGAAGAATTCGAGGATCTTTTTCAGGACGATTTAGCTGCAGACTTGTCTTGGGAGGTTAAAGAAGAAAAGAGTGAGAACAACTGTCCAGCAATGAATCAGGATCCACTGATGGAGTCTATCCTCGGCCTTCAGTCGGTGCAGGATGCCCTTGAAAAAGGTTTGTCTACCATGCTTTTGATTATTTATTAAGGTCATTCTCAATGCTTTGTATGCTAGATCAGATGCTTCCTAATATTAATTATCATGTATCTCCATATCTGATCTGCACATTTTCAATTTTGAGGAAATGCATTTTATTGTTTGTGGGTAGATGGTAATAGTTTACACGAAAATATTTTTTTCACTTGAATATTCTTCCAATAGTCAGAATTTTCGAAAACTCTCGTCTTTACTTGATTCTTATAGGATGTCACTTTTCAAAAGAAAACATAATAGGATATTTGCAATATCTTTTAAAAGAAAAAGGATATTTCCAACAGCCTAAAGAAATAAATAAGTAGGATCTGTATTGCCTTTCCAGTGGGGAGGAGAAGTTTAATATGCTAAGATTCTGAAGTTTAGCAAGGAGAAGTTGCAGTTACATCACAGTTTAGGCTAAGTTGGTTCCCATGTACACTAAATGGGAGTTGATTTAAAAATTGGAAGGGGGTGTTGGGGAGTATATGGAGGCAGCTACCGTTCCCATACTAATTCCAGATGGATAATATGTTAAATGTGTTTTTAGTGGGTAATGAATATCTAGTTATTTGGCAATCAAAATTAAAATCTCGTCACCAAATAAAAACTTTCCCATTAGACTTGGAATGTGTGAATTATTTGGTGGTCAGAATCAGGAAATGCTGAGGCTAGTGATTAAACACAGCATATTATTGACACTTATCTTACAAGTTTGGTGCCCTAGCTTGGTTGTTTATTTTCAAATTCAGGACATAAACTGTAATGAGTTACGTTGTTCTCGGCAGTTTGGGCATTTATGAGCTTTTGCTATCCAGTAGGATCCATCTTGTATTTCTGTGGAACTAAGTCTTCTTTGTTTGTGAACCTTTCAAAAGTCCTTTTTTTAAGTATCCTTCCCATGGAGCAATACAAGACATCAGGTATAATTGTTAGTATACTTCTGGTTGGCTTTATGTTCTTATGATCATTAAAAATGTTGGTGCTGTGGATCGTTCTTTTTGTCAGCAACAGTATTAGGCACATTTGATCCTTGATAGAGCTAGTCATTGTATGTAAAGTGGTGAGTGTGTAGGCACTACTTGACATCTATGATGGATGTAACATATTTGTCATTAGCTAGTTTTTGTAAGTTAAGGAAATTTGCTGGAAATCCCCAATAGGGAAAAAAAACAATAACAATAGAGAAACAAATAACGTTGCTGGTCCCACCATGAATGTGAAATCATTCCTTATATAGACCAGCAAGCAAAAAACAAAAATTACTATTGGGAATGAATCAAACCATGGCTGTTCGCCAAACTAGTGTAGAAAAATGAACGTTACTTTTTCAAATGCTCATTTGAGAATAATTGCCACAATGATTTCCTGGGTTGATTTGTTTTAAGTCAAGGTTCATTGTGTCTCATTATGTGGGAATTAATGTTTTTGCTTTCGCTAGTGATATTTCAACTTCAGGCAATTATTTATTAAGTTCATAGAGCTGTAAATACTCTTGCAGAAATCGAAAGGTTTAGGGAAATTAGAATGGAACCCATATCTCTACATGATGAAGCAGTTAAGGATTGCGGCGCATCTGCAGATTCCATCTTTACTGTTACACAAATCCATGAACCAAGCTCATCTGACCAGTTGGGTGCTGAAAAATTTGGGCAGAATGGTTCAAGTTCCTTGGAACCTCAGGTATTAAGCTTGATAGAGAATGTAAAGCATTTGAAGAGCAAACTTGATGCGGCAACTGTCACGCTCGACCTGAAGGAAAAAAGGATTTGTGAGCTGGAATCCTCTCTAAATGTTAGCAAGTCAGTGAAGGGAGAATCAGGGAGCACTATAGAGTTGCAGCAGGAGAAATGTAGAGACATGGAATCTGAGCTCGAAGGTCTCTTTCAGCAAAAGATAGAGACTGAAATCGAGTATCTGGCACTAAAAAGGACAATACAGACAATGAGAGGCGCCACGAGCAATCAGATCATGCTTTTTGAAGAACAGAAAACACTTGCAGGGGAGCAAGCGGAGATACAGAGCAAGCTTGGAGAAGTAGAGAACAAGGCTGCAGAATTAAAGAAACAAGCAGAGGAGTTGGAGAAGTGTTGTGAGGACATTTTTGGAACCGAAGAAATCTTGATAACACAGAGGAGGATCTACAAGGTTACTTCATGTTTTTCTATACAGTTGATTTTATTGCTGTTAGTATGTTGGCTGTTTGTCTCACAGTTGTCACCCCGTTCGAGGGTAGTTGTACCCACCTGATAAAATAGGCCTTCTTTTTTCTCTTAGTCAATGGAAAATTTACTAGGCAAAGATTTCAGTGTTCAGTTTATGTCTCTTTTGATTTTGTTTTGTTCTTTCTGTTTTTTTTTGGTGGGGAGGGGGGAAGAAGATAATGTGGAAAAGAGGGGGGGAAGTTGTATAACCATGATTCTACTTGGTGTGCACATTCTGTAACTCAGATGGTTTTAATAGTTTCCTTTTGGCCAATACCATAATGGTATACCTTTTATTCTCTTCTTTTTTATCACAATAGCACCTAGGAATCAAGTCTATATGTAATAAATGTATTTATATATAAAAAAATATGTTTAATGACCCGAAACCAAAAAAGAAAAGAAAAATATGTAATATATACATATAAAATAATAATAAATGAATAAATTAAAAATTAATTAATTAATTAATTATTAGTTTAGAGTTTTCCTAAACTACTTTTTAATAACTCATTATGAATATCTCTTAAATCTTAAAATTTATTTTTCTACCTAAATTTTTGAATGAAGCTCTTGACAACACGAAATATGAGAAAAGAATTCAGTGATGAAAACCTAAAGTTAAAGTTAGTTTTTTTTTCTTTTTTTTCTTCCTTCGAAAGTAATATTGCTTTTAATTTTTTTTTTTTTTTTACATTAACTTCACCATTTCAACAAATTTATAAATGAATTATATATTATTAGAATATAAATAAATAAAAAAATTATAATCTTTAAATATTTCTAACATGATATTTGTGATTCTACCGATCAGAGGTAAGCATTCTGTATTATAATTCTACTAATGGAAGTTAAATATTAGTTGATAATTCATTGTGTCGTTAGTGACAAAATATACAATACATATTGTGCATTATGATCTTATCAATGGGACATTAACCATGTTAACATATTTATTTGATAAAAACTATTTTCGATATTGTACCGGTTGTAACATCCCAATTATTATTATTATTATTAGTATTATTTTATTTTAATTTTTTGTAATTTTTATATGAATATATGAATTTTTATATGATTTTAATTTAGTTTAATTTAATTAAATAGAAATAATAATAATAATAATAATAAAAGGGGTAAAATTATTTTAGAGATTTAATTGAAAGAAATTTTGAAAAAAAGAGGTCAAAATTTGAGTTCTGAGAATATTTTCGACAGAAAATTTGAAAATTGTGGGTCAAAACGTAATTTAAAAAAATTGAGCCACGTCAGTTATCTGGTCAGCAGCCCCGGCCAACCAGAACGCGCCGCGTGGCAGAGACGCTGACGTGGGAGGCCACGCGGAAGGGAGCCACGTGGGCGATCCGCGTGCGCGCGATCGAACAGCTGAGATCTGTTCCCGCGTGTACGGACGACCCAGATCAAAAACGTGCACGGATGACCTAGATTGCACGCGCACGGACGGTCCAGATTGAATCGCGCACAGACGGCCCAGATTGCATCACGATGAACGGCCCAGATTCATTTTCTTTTTAATTGCGATTGGACGGTACAGATTAAATCGCGATGGATGACTCAGATTAAAAACGGAAGGTTATAAATAATCTCATCCACACCCAAACCCTAACCCTAGCCGCCAGAGCCCCACGCCGGAGAGGACAGCCCAGGTCCTTCCCGATTCTCGTTCGATGTAATTTTTACACCATTGTGACCACCGTTCCTTCTCCTATAGATTGACCGGAGCAAAACACCAAATCGCGACTCGAGCCGGAGGAGCCGCCGCACTAGAGAGCCCCGCCACCGGTAAGTTTCGATTTTTTGTATTTTTTTCGGCCCACCGAGAGCCCTAGGGGTGTTTTTTCACAGGAACCAATGCAAGTTTGGCCGAATTCGGTCGAAAACAGCTAGAAACAGCCAATCCTAGGCGGATCGCCGCTGCCGGAGCCCCCGTATTGGAATTTCGAAATTGGCCGAATAAGCCTTGGGTTTGATTTTTGAGTTATTTGGAACATGTGTAGGTACCGTAAACGCAATTTAGTTCCCGAAAAAAAAATTCAGGGAATTCAGGGACTGTCCGTAGGCACAGTGAAAATCTGATTTTCGGCTTCGAATCAAGTAAGGACCCCTCACCTTATTTTCTTATCACGGGGTTAAATTCTAATGAATGATAAAACTGTATTTGTATTAATTAAATAGATATACATAATTATTACGGTTGCTAATGTAGTCCAATCCGGACATATTTCTCTGTCAGTTCCTGTTTGATTTATTTTACAGTCTAACTGCAGTATGGTATCTGATTTATTTATTCTATGATTTTGAATGCATGAATCACTGTCTACTTTATTATGGCTTGATTTCGTGAATTCGATGATATGTTTGTCTTGTTGGATGCTCGTTACTTGTTTAAGTATTCATATTTATGTGGGAAACAGAAAACTAAGAAAAAAATAGAAAATGTATGTGAATTGATAAATTGATAAGTTGACAGCCTCACTAGATATCCTGGGAGATGGTGGACGGATTGGATCTATAGGGAACCCTATCGGGAACGTTGTCTCATATCAGACGGGGTACGGAGACTTTTAATGTTTTGGCGCTCATACCGGACGGGGTATGGGGATGACCCACTTCACCCTCATACCGGACGGGGTATTAAGGTTTTATTATTTGGCGCCCATACCGGACGGGGTATGGGGACGGACTTGGAAATTAAGTTTGTTAAAGGAATGGTTCATGTGTAGCGGGGACCCCTATGGATCTCCACGGATACTAGTAGACTGATAAAAAAGGGGTAACTGTTGTTTGATGATTGAAATATAAAAGTATGACATGTACTATGATACAGATCATATATAAATTCATGATATTTATGATGTTATTGTTTCCATGAGTCGTTTTTATAAATCACACTGAGGTAAGTGGACGGTAAATAGTTTGATTATTGATAAATAAATTTACTTAAACCTTGTGCTCCATTGGTTGTCTTTGGTTTTCTACCAACCTTTACTTATGTGACAATGATATAGTGTGATGTCTTTACTGGGTTAGTGTAGCTCATTCCTTACTTAACTATTTCAGATCAGAATGACTTGGTTCCCGAGCTCGATCTACAAGAAGACGGCGAGTAGATACCTAGATGTTTATTAGTTTCTTTTATAGTCTTTCATTCCCAGTATTTTTCTTTAGATGACTTATTTTCGGTATTGTTAGTACGTTTAAGTTACTGTATAAGGGATATTAAACATAACCTTTTATTTCGATTCTGCACTTATTTTCTTTATATACATTTCCTTTTTAAATTTTCGGGACCGTTACAGTTGATATCAGAGTCGCGTTCCTTGGACTCGTCCCTTACACAATAATACTTAGAGAAACACCAAACTATTGAATCATTACTCAATCCTTACTTATGAAATGCAGGTGCAGAGAGATAAAGAGAGGAAGACCTCCACTAAACCGAGCAGCCCGGGATGGTTCGCTTCGGAAAGATGTTGACAGAATATTTGAGATGCTGGAGAGACTCATTGCTGCCCATCAAGGTCAAGAGAAGAGAAGGGAGCTACCCGACCCTTCCCCGCTGCCACAGGTTGAGCCACCACTACAGCGGGAGCATCCCGAGCCACCCCGGTATGAGCCTGCTCCTCCACAGTACCACCCGGTGCCACCATCGCAGTATAATCCGGTGACCCAGCCGCAGTACTGCCCAGCACCGCCATAGTATAATCCAGTACCCCCACCATATTAGCAAGTACCACCACAAGACCCCCTAGTTTATCCTCAGCTTGGCCCAGTTCCTCTTTTGCAGGACCCAACTCCTTCCATGATTGACTCAGGCTACATAGAGAGGTACAGGAGACTGAACCCATCCACTTTTGTAGGAGAATCCTCCTTTGAAGATGCCCAATATTGGTTGGCAGAGACGGAGAAGGCCTTCAAGACTTTAGGAGTGACTCCCGAGCAAAGGGTCACTTTTGCTACCTACATGCTGGTGGAAGAAGCAAACCACTGGTGGGAACTCAAGTAGACCACCATACCTGTTCCGGTCACTTGGGAACAGTTCTTAGCAGCATTCCATACAGAGTACCTTCCAAAGCACATCCGACACTTGAAGGAGATGGAGTTTGTCCAGTTGGTCTAGGAGAACATGATGATATCAGAATATGCCCGTAAGTTCTTAGAGTTAGGCTGATACTCCCCTGAGACGTTGATGGACGAGGACAGGAAGGCTAGGAGGTTCCAGTGGGGCTTTCGCCTAGAGATCAAACAACATCTATTTGTATTGGATCTCAAGACATACTCAACAGTCCTGGCCAAAGGAACAGTTAGTTGAGAGGAGCCTCCACACTCTCCCTCGGCTAATAGGGAACCACTGACCTTCAGCTCTACTCTGCAAACCAGCACCTATTGCGCCTGTCCAACAGAACAAGAGGCCCAGACCGATGATCCAGGCTGCCCCTCAGGCTGCAGTGGCAGGACGTGGTAAGATCTATCAGCATTGCGGCAGGGATCACGGGGATCAACCATGTTACTGCGTCAACAACACTTGTCGCATATGTGGTAGTGCCCAACACTATGCGAGAGAGTGCCCAAGGAACCAGAATCAAGAAAGACATCTATTCAAGGTAGGGCTTACAACCTCACCCAGCAGGATGCCGACGCCGACGTGAACGTAGTATAGGGTATGTATACTATCTGTAACTATTTTGCTCATGTTTTGTTTGACACTGGTGCATCGCATTCATTTGTTTCACCTGTTTTTGAATCCAAATTTAATGTATTGCTTGATAAACTTGATTCGATATTAATTGTATCTACTGTTGGGAGTGCAACATTACTAGGAGAAGTTGTCTACAAGGCTTGTGTCGTGGAGATAGCAAATAGGAAACTGAGTGTAGACCTGATAAAATTAGACACAAGGAATTTTGACGTAATTTTAGGGATGAATTGGCTAGCGGCGTATCACGCCACCATAGATTGTTTTAGCAAAAAGGTTGTATTCAGTCCTTCAAATGGGGAGCCATTTACAAATGAATAAAATTATTTAGTACTTATTACTTGATGGCAAATTTTTTTACTTGTTGAGTGCCTTAACCTTGCTACTTTTTCTAATTAG